GAGGGGGCGGGGGGGGGGGGGGGGGGACGAGATCAGTCAAGCGTCCCATAATCTTGCAGCATGTGGATCTCAAAGTTCACATATGCACATGCTTCACTTCAAGTGTTACGGAGAAACGTGTGTCGATTCGGATGCTGGCACAAGCGCACGCACCTGTTCAATACGGTTCGCGCTGTTTGTGACAAGCCCCAAGAAGGGCTTTGACGTTTGAACGGGCGGTTTTTGGCACACCAGACCCATTTCACTAAGGGCATCGGCCTTTGTGGGCGCCGGCAGCACACTTTGCGGCGACGTGCGGGTACAGCAGAGCTGTGGAAGCGTTGTCATTACCGTGCACCAACAAGAGACCAAACGAATCGCCCTACTGCAGACGGAGGATGCACGCAGCAGGACCAAAGCACCACACGGGCGAAAGCCGAAACATTGAGTCGCGGCAGCATGGACGAAGAACTCGTTAGTCGAGGGCACGACAAGGCATCGTGTCGCAAGAACGGTTCAAAGAACACGAACGAAACCACCACGGGTTGGTTGGCGCGAAAGGACGCGAGAATGTAGCCTTGTGTAAAGAAGGGGAGAATTTCGCCGGGCATTTCGCCGGGCCAACTCAAACCTGATACGGAACTAAACAACAAGCAGCGAGGTGCGTATTCATGTAGAACCCAGCTCCCACCGCCGCCGCCAGCACCGCGACAGGAGAGGAGTACTTGCAGCCGTGGCCTGCGCCCGCTGGTGCTCCTCGCGGGCGCAAAACACGCGCGCGCACTCACACACATTTAGAAGTTTGTTGTGTTTTCAACCGCACTGAGACTGGCGTCTTTTCATTGGTCAGCGGGTTAGCGCGGTCGATGCTAATAATAAAAAACCACACACACACCTGAATTTTTCGTCGCCTTCCAGGGACTTTCATTTCACCCGCTTGGCACCGGCGTAATTTCGTTGATCAGCGCGGTTGGCACGGTCGACGCTATGCTAGTAAACACACACACGCACGCACGCACGCACGCACACGCACCCCCTCACCGGGTACCAGATCGTGGCCTTTAGAAGCATTTTTTGTTCTCAACCGCACTGAGACTTGCGTCTTTTCGTTGGTTGGTCAACAGGTTGGCGCGGTCGGTGCTAACAACATAACAGATAAGATGGACACACATACCTCGGTTGACGGAGGTCCCACGTCTTCACCGCCCCGTCGGCGCAACCCGTGGCGACCACTGGATGGTTGTACTTGTCCCAGTCTCCCGCTAGGACCTCCGCACCCCCGTGTCCGTCCAGCTTTTGAATCACCGATATTTCATCACCGTAAAACAGACGCATTACCATCTTCAGTGTGCCGCGACCTTTTCTGAGCTGGCGCGCCGTCTAGCGGGCTCGACGTGTCAAGGCCTGCTTACAGGACTGAGTGCCTTGACAACTGTCGTGTTTAGGCCTCTGGTCAAAAGACGTCGACTAGGTGGGCTCGACCCTGCCTAGCTTAGCTTAGCTTAGCTCACTCTAGGCGACTTCCTCTTCATGTGAAGGTGTGACCTGCCGCATACAACCGCCGAAGCGAGAAAAGTGCTTCTTCTTACCACAATCGCAGCACCGGGGCTGTTGACATCGAGCACCCTCGCAGTCCCATCCCCGGAGAAAGAGAGCAGCTGGCCAGGGCTAAACGGGCTCCAAATAGCACCTGCGAGCGCGCGACGTGTGTTGCGTGTGTGTGTGTGTGTGTTGTGTCTTTTCTATTAGCATCGACCGCTCCGTTCCAGCCACACTGCTGTTGTCAAGGAAAGCATGGTAGTCTGCCTCACCGTAAACGGGGTGCCGCCCGTGATCCCGAAAAGTATGCGACGATACTCCCGCACTTGGTGTCCACAGTTTCACGCTGCCGTCCCAAGAAGCTGACGCGAACAAGCCCTTCGAAACCAGATTCCAGTCCACGCCCGACACCTCTGACAGGGAGGACCAAGCGGGGTCAAACCGTGTTGGGCGTCTAAATAGGAAATCGTGTACTTTCAGGGCCAAATAGTGTTGGGCGTCTCAACAAAAAATCGTGTGCTATTGGGGTCAAGCCGTGTTAGGTGTATAAGCTAATATCGTGTGCTTTTGGAAAGGTTGTACTTCGTGGTAGATAATAACGCTGCATGATCCACACGGGGGGAAAATGTGGCGGGTGAGCGCCAGAGGGAGGTGGTGGGCTACAATTATCCAGAGGGTCGACAGATGCCGCACGTCTCCCCTGACGGGCGCTGAGGTTTTCCAACTCGACTCTTTCTCTTCAAGCAACCGGAAAATGGGAACCCCCCGCGGTCCCGCCGAAACATTGGTCGGGTTTCCTGAAGCACACCTTTACTACGGAATACATACGTACAGCAGTTTTTGTTCGGCAAACCTTAACGAGAGAAAGAGAAAAGTTCCCGCAGGTTTTCTGGTTGGCCCTGTCCTTTTATTTCTCAAGTGCGATGTATACCTTGCGTGTGCTCTCTCCAGTCGGCAACCGGGAATCCGTCCGCAGCTCCTAGGTCCCAAAGCTTAACTACGCCATCTATTATAGGAGCAGGTTAGAGCAGCGAACAAAACAAAAAAACAGCAGTGACGTCATTTCGACCACGATGCCTGCTCAACACGGGGGTTATTCAGCCCAGTGCTCACACAACTAGTGCGCGCTCTTGTACGGTTCAGGCCCGCCATTAAGAAAAATTGAGTCAGAAGAAAATGAGGCTAAACTTTTCACGAAAAAACTAAGACAAATCGACTAAGCAGCACACCTCGGCCGTGGATCCTACACGGAAACTCTATCAAATGACCCCCATCTATGCTCGACGGTGGTGACGAATAAGAAATTGAGCAACCCCAAGCAGACGTTTCTTCTGTGTGGGCCGCAGCCGTAGTGGGTACCCTGCAAGAACGATTCATTGCGGTGCGGCAGGTGGACCGCTTTTACCCAGAGCTCAACTCAAAGAAGGTAATACAGGATGCCTGCGCTGGAGTTTCCATATCTGTCCTGGAACCAGAAAGAAGAACGCTGCAGGAGTACGTTGCAGTCCGGCCTGGGAACGGCGGGGGCAATCCTCAGGCTCAAGACATCCACGACGGCGAAAAGCCGAAGCAACGCTTTGCCATGCCAACTTCGTTTGGCGTGTGAGGTTTGCTGGTGGTGTGCTGATGCAGTGTTTTAAAAACCGAATATTGACATGAACTCATTGAAGAACCAGTTGGCGATGACAAGGGAGGAGGCAACCGTGCGTGCTTGAAGGAGATGGCAACAACGGATCATCACGCCGCCGTACCCCCACTACAGCTTAAAAAATGCTGTCAGTCGCACAAACCTGCTCCCGCGGTGGCCATCTGGTGGGGATGGCACTCGCTCCACGCGCAGTCGAACAGCCCGGCCTGCGTGTCGAAGCTCCGCAGCTACTGCGCAAGACAACGAGCGTAGCAGCAGTCTTGTTATGTAGCCCTGACGGGGAAGAAAAAAGGGCGCGCCTTGTCGTCGTCTGACAAGATTTCCAAACACGTGGTGTTGTCGATTTTTTTAGTCGTGGACGTGCGCAGCCCCCGCGCCGCAACCCCTGCTTCCCCGCCTTGATGAAACCAGCCAAATGCCGCTGCTGTTGCCCCCCTCCGTCGACTTCTCGGCGCCCTCGGAGTGGACCGAACACGTCGACCGCCGTCGCGACGACAAGTAAGCGTGGCATGTATGTGAATTAATAAAGAGATACCCGTTACCGTAACTCCCAAACACGTACGTACAGCCCCGCCACTAAAACCAAGCTTGTTATTTGCTCGCGAAGGCTACACTAAGGAAACGCCGTCCGTCCCCGACAACGTGTCGAGTCACACCTCTCGCTGCTGCCAGGCGGGCGAGCTGTCCGCAACGTCTCCCGCATGTCTGCCGAAGACGTGCAACCGCCCGTTCCCAACGATGCCGAAGTACTGGGCTGTCGCCACCGCCACCCGCTCGCCGTCAAACGGGCTGAACTCCACCTTGGTGGTGGTGGTCGGAGTCGTTCGCAAAAAAGTATTAGTAACACTTGGTCGAAATTCGAAGGCGCACAGGTTCGTTCGAACGAAAGGGACACATACATGATCAGTGATCGCTGAGTCGTGACGACGGGTTGCGCGTGGTGATCTGAATAATACCCATCAGTAATAATTGTACTTGTTTTTTTAAAAAACAGAATGCGAAACAGCAACCTAGGGGAAACAGAGTTCCGCGAGCGACAGGGCGTATCACCCGGCCCATGAACGGTTTCAAGGCTCCTCCTCCAGCTGTGCCGAGTGTGGGTACAGGTGGTGATACCACATGGCGGTGCCACCCCTGGGCGGTGTATAATATCCTGCTTGCATGGATAGCAGTTACGGACCAGCTTCCGTGTGAAAGGCTACGGGTTGCTGTCATGAACGCGAACGAGCTGGATCAGATCATCATGCGGAATAGGGCAGAGTTCGGTACTGGGAACCATATGGCCGGCGAAGGTGCAGGTGGGACACATGTATTCATACCGAGAGTAAAGATGATCCTCTTGCAGGGAAGTGGTGCCCGCCTTGAGTGCGGCACCCGATGTGTCGAATATCTTCAGCGGGGGAGGTCTACAGCTGCTGCATGATAAAGCACGGGGAGACGCAACCTGCTGTCGGGTCTTTGAAATCATGCGCGTGAATGCGAGGAGACACGCTAAAGGCGGGGCAGAACACAATCGTTCTTGCCAACGAGCCTAAAAGATCTCACCGCATGGCAGCTAAAGGGAAGGTTAATCGACGCTTCAAGCCTCATGATGTTCGCCCGCCGAGAGAGAGAGAACGATGAGAGAGGCGCGCGACCAGCACAGGGCAGGGCAAGCTTGGTGCCGGACTGAAGGGGGTCAACAGCTGGCCTCACGAAAAGGTGGGTAGGGTACGTAGGGTGTCTACACAGTGTGCCCCCGCCTACACACTTGATGACACTCTCAACATCGGGGATGTTTCATTAATTATTGGCCCATCCCTCTGCCTCGCGTTGCCTGTGTGCATCGTTCGTGCAGTGACTGAGATGCTGTATCGTAGGTGCCCACAGCTGCATCAGTGTGAAAACACGAAATTAGATCGGGAGTCACCCAAACACTGCAAGATGAAGAGTGCACACGATGTTATGTCATACTGTTTGGATCCTTGGGATAAGATACCATCAGGACGGGTGTACAATGTATACCCATAGAGAGAGATACTCCGTAGTACTGCGTAGAGGATCTTCATGCGTCTCTCTCTCAGCGGTCGTCAGATACGCTCCAGTCTGCCCAATTGTATTAGTTTGGCGTCGTCGGCAGGATGGATACAACATACACGCTCCACACTTCCAATTTTGCATTACTACAACGAGGCGTTGAAAACACTTCGTTCGCTCATCGTTCGGAGTCGAATTTATTTTGTTTTCCACTCTTTCTCCCCTATTTTTTTGCCGTGCTTTCGATGCGACCACTACTGTATGTAGTATTTGTAGACCTCTACAATGAACACACAGCAGTAGTATGTATCAGGACAAGAAATCCTCACAAGAAAATGGGAGGGTCAGATTTACTTGAAACTGGTTGAAATAGTCTAGAACAAAAGGGCTCGTTTTCATGTTGCTTGCACAAAAACGAGGCTACAACATGTAGTTAGTTAGGCGGCAAGGTTCCCACAGTCATAATCGAGTTCTTTATTACGACGGCCCGGAGGGATGATGACTGACTCTGCACAGCGTATAAAGTAGACTTTAAGTCCACAGGAAAACGTGAGAACTCTTCGGTGCGCGTTGGTTTCCCCACGAAGGACATAGGGAGCGAGCCTCGGTCAAACAACGAGGTTCGTTGGTGGCGCGTTCTACCGCGTAGTAGCAGTCGTGCAATCGCCCTCTCTCGACTTTGGAACCACATCGATCGTTCTTGCTTTTACCGCGCGGCACATATCAATAACGTGCTCGGTATGATGAGTAAATGAGTTCCAGTCTCGATTTTTTTCAGGCTAAAGTATGTAGACAAGTACTACGAAACGTCGCCATACTCCTCCTACTCTCGCGCTACGAAAGAAAGCATCCCCAACAACAAAGCAGTGTCATCAGTTCCACCACCCTGGCAACACCTACACAACAAACAACTAACACGGTATTCATGTCACATTCTTCGCAACAGCTAGCTGCTCCGTAAGCATCGACAATTTGTGCGACCCGCGCAGAGGTCCGCACCGTTCGATCGACAAATGGCGCCAAAAATCACCAAAACCATCTGCGGATCTATAACGCCAATTCCAGCGGTCCTTCAACGTTTCAATAACGTATGACTTTACGACACCACCTTCACAATACATGCACATCATATTCTCACTCAAGGTAGGAAGGACACAAGACACCCTTCAACCTGTCACCCCAGCACAACACCAGTTGACATAGCAAACATCCCAACGGCCGACTCATCATGTTCAACACAAAACAAGGGTGCGTTCCGCCCCATGTTCAGGCAGATGAAGGGGGGAAACCACAAACAGACTACAACTAATTCTTGAACAGTGTTCTTTTACGCTCGAAGTTCAGTACACCCCAAGGTGCGCCCCCAACTATCCCAACGGGGTACAGTAGCTACTCTCTCGACACAGCCGAACAGCAGTGTACCGGTGCTTGCTTCGACATCACACGCAATACCGACACACGCTTTCTATTTCTTCAGAGGGCCTCACATCTATGCGAAGGACCTTCCCTGCCGATGCCCGAAAAACCCACCTTGCATAAATACGTATACACAAAATTTCTTTGGCGCCGAAACCATCAAGCGGTGGAGCAAAGAGGTTCAATACCCTTGGGCTTTTCGCGGCGCAGTCTTTGACGACCCCATGCGTACCAAACACCGGTGAAAGAACAACACAAGAGAACCCCCGAATGGGCCGTCACATTTCCGGAGCAGCACACGCACACCAAATACTTCCAAGTACAAATAACGCACTTCTTGACTGCTTACAAATAACAAATAACGCATTCACACTCCACCCTACCCGACGCGATTTGAAAAGGCGAGGTGAGCCTAAAACCACAAAACATCATATCATATCATATCACATCACATCACATCATATCACATCACGCGACCGTCGGCCGGGCTGACGGCTCTTCCTCCCCTTCCGCACCCTCCTTGCCGCCCTTGTTCTTCGTGCGGATGCGGAGGTGCCTCGACAACATATCTACGAACCCCGCGGCGATGCCGTGCGACGGCACCTGACCTTCACCGTGAGCCGCCTTGAACGTCAAGGATGCTGCGTTGACGCAGTACCTTCGGAAGGGGGAGAAGGGACAACGTAAGAGACGACGTTTAGGCAACGCGACGACATTATTTGGGCGTCAGACCAAACCAGAGAACGGGCATAACAGCAGCTAAGGGGGGATCCTCGAAACAGGGACAGGGACACCGAGTCGGAAAGTACAGATCGCGGTATCGCTCTAATCACCTGGCATTGTGCAGTTAATGTGATGGTTCTTCTTTGGTGTACATGATGGGCAGGTGATCATGAGAGACCATGATTGTGTGCCCAGTTTCGAGGCGCAGTTGGGTTTGGGGTTGGGGTTGGGGCTCGATTCAAGCTCCTTTGCCGATAGATCTTCAGGGACTGATGCCAGATCCCTTCTGACGCTGGTTCTGTTTGAGGTATACTTTATCCAATACTCAGAGTACACCAACAGAAAGCAACCTTCCCGCCGTGTCTAACTACACCTGAGTACTTTAATCAGTAGAGGACGCCATGCTGCTGGAGCTGAAATATCGAAGGTCGTAGTAGCGGCCTACAATATCCGCAAAAACGGACAAATTAGACTGACCCCGTGTCTTGTGCTGCTAGTGCTCGCCGCAACGGACCGTAAACCCCGGAACGGCGGATGGTCAGAAGTCAGCTAGTGCACTAATTTGGTCATTTTTGCGGAGATTGTAGGCCGCTACTACGACCTTCGATATATCAGCTCCAGTAGAAAACCTGAACGTACCAGCGCACACGACGTCTCTTCATGGTGCCCTCTGCTGATTAAAGTACTCAGGCGCAGTTAGCATGATATAAACTGGCCTTATTTGTCTGGGCGCCTGCCGTTCTGGCTCTATTGACTTTAATTCAGAGTAGTGAAAAATTGATCTTGATTTCAAATGAGGCGTGTGGAGGTAGACTGCATGATATGGATGTTTGCCTCAGCCTCTACTGCCGCCCCATCCGGGAATCAACGATTTCTGTTTTTCCAGGTGCCTTCCGACTGGTCTTGTGCGTCTCGTGTGCATTTTCTGGTGCTCTAGCGCATATTGTACAAAATCAGTCAACATCATTAGAGGTTGGCATCAGGCCCTTACACTGCCAGATAAACGTATCGAAATAGTTCGGGATAGTACTGCTTTGTTGAAGCCAGCATATCGACATGGCGGGAGACACCTCGACTGCACAGGGACCTAGAAAATCAAACCAAAATCATTATGATATCAACACTCACAAGCCCAGTTTGACAGGAGGCGTACTACAACAACACCAGGAGACATCTCAGGCCCCAAACCCGGCGCGAACGTACGCGATGGCTCGAAAAACAAGAAATACGTGATGTGAATTGAGACGTCCGCCCGTGGAAGGGACGAGGAAATCGTTGCCCGACGGAGGAATCATTGTCATTTACAACCGCGAGCGCCCTGCCGTTTGGGCGGCAAACAACTCATCGAGAAACCAACTCGGCAAAACGCAACACGTGCTCGGTATTTGGGGTGACCAGTAAGGCTCAGTATTTGGGGTGACCGGTAAGGCTCGATGGTCACCGCAAACACTATTCCCTCACGCGCAGGCGATGCAAACACAGCTAACACGTAAGGTGGGGGCATCGAACGGTAGGAAAGCTTAGTGTTTTTCCCGCACACCGGCGTTTCGTGATGTAGTACAGTAGCAGTATACGTCTCTCGGGGAGTTTTGAACCGCATTTCGCCGGTTCGCGAGCACGCACCTCTTTCCTGTTGGTCGAGGCCCGTCGTTGAACACGTGCCCCTGGTGAGCATGGCACCGGGCGCACTTGACCTCCTTCCGCACCATGCCCGCCGAGAGGTCTGTGGTCTCCCACACGTGATCGGGGTCGATGGTCTGCGTTGAGCGGAGACAGACGCGGGTCGGGATAGAAAGTTTCGTGTCTCGTTGATCGAGTTTTGACTCACTGAAGAAGTTCATCATGCGTATTTACGTACGTAGCTGCTGGCAGGCCCATGCCAGATACTGATTGATACCAGGCACCGAGTTCTGTGTAATTGGCATCTATCTGCCGTTCCTGGGAATCAATATCGCACCTTGATGCACACCCGCGTGTACCGAAAATATGAGAATATGTCCGTAGAAATGGCATGAACACAATCAGTCACAGGAAGGCTTGGACCCGTTCGATCGAGACGACTACTACAGGAGAATACACGGCATGGCAACGCACAGGTTGTTGGAGATACACTATCTGTTGCTATACATATGTGCATCTCGTCAAAGCCTTGTATTTACCACACATATGCATATTATTCGCACGAAGGGGTCGGTCTCGCGCGCCTCCAAGGGAGCGGCTTCCCTCCCTCACCTCGTAGAAACTGGGCCATCCCGTGCCGCTGTTGAACTTGGAAGAAGACGAGTAGGCCGGGAGGTCACACACGGCGCAGTTGAAGGTGCCCCGCCTCTTGGTGCTGTACCTGACCCCGTTCGAGAAGCGGCCCGAGAAGGGAGGTTCGGTCCCGCCGCTGACGACGTAGCGTTGTTTTATGCTCAGCGCTCGCTCCTAAGGCAGGTACATACAACAGTCCCGGCGTGGAAATTGATATCTGGAGAACGACAACGTCCATGGTCAACACCAACAACTTATAGAGGCCCGGCGGAGATCGCGGAACAACATCTTCTGAAGGAACCAACCAACCAACAACTCACAGACCATTTGAGCAGCAGATCGCAATGCTCCTAAAAACGCATACTTAGAATTACTAGACCAACCTCACAGACCAACATTGCTCTTCTTGGAGGGACCTGAGATTGACAACAATAGGCCGGGTTCGGTTTGTTTGCCTCGTGCATGTGCCATCATGCCCGTCACGACGCGTACGCTAGGGAGGGGCCCAAGTTAGGGTGAACAAATAGAGAAACAAGAATGATGGTTCACGGCGCGTTCTTGCCATAAAATCGCACACAACAAGAACTGCTCGTCCCTCGGGGTTACTGCTGTTGCGGTAAATTTAGACGCTTTACGGTAAAACACCCGTCGCCCGTGTGCAGCAGTCTGTCGACAGCTCTACACCAGTCACCATCAGGTCTTCTGCAGGCAGGGGCATTTTTGACTGCTGGGTGTACCAAGGATACCTACAGCTGTAGACCCAGCTCTGTTTACACCACTGCTGCCGCCGGCGACTCATCGCGCAGTACTGCTTTGCTGGGCACCACGGCACACCGCTGCTGCTGTACAACCTTTCGCTCGTGGCCTGCTCGGCAGCACGGCCTAACACCGCCGATTCACAAAGCACCGTCTCTCAGGCTTACCCTAGCAAGCTGTGCGGTGCCCTTCTTCCTCCTTGTGACATCGTAACCGGACGCCGACACGGCACCAGCGACGACGCGCTTCGTGCTACTGCTGCTGTTGTTCTCCGAGGTCATGCCTGTAGCTTTCCGTGTTCCTGGTTTGTGGCCTGCAGATGGAGATGTCGCGTTGCTTGATTGTGAGCTTTGTGAGCGCCGCAGCCAGGAGCAGCAGCGGTTTTTGTCGATGCCTCCGGTCTCGGGTGAATGCAATGTGTCTTCAACCCCACGACCCCGCGGACCGCGGTAACACTTCTTACCGACGGGACTGTCGAGACGATACAACACCGGGGTTTGTTTTACGCACTTCGTTACAGCAGTCAGTTGCGGAGCACCAAGACACCGCATGATGAGGAATAGCGGCTACACTATTAGCAGGTTGGATATGCCGTTGAATCCCCGAAGCCCTGGCCCTGAGGGTATCATCATGTACAAGCATAAGAAGCAGCTAGCTATGTCTCTTCCGAATGTACAGCAGTCAAATCTCTTTTTTTTTCCAAATGCATCGTGTCACTGTGTAGAGCTCTAGAGCCGGTGCCGACAACAAGCGGCGTGATTCTTCGAATCTTCCAGAACGCTTCTTTCTTTCTGTTCTGAGTCTGTTCTTCACTCCACCCGTCTCCTGCGCGCTCCCCACCCTCTGTTCTCGCCGGGCAAAGCGTGGGGTGTTCACCGAGATGTATTCGGATCACTTGAAGATGGACGCGCAAGATATCAAGGTGTGCATCTGGTACCATTTCAGTTGCAAATTACAGTTGTTTTCAACTCTACACAGACCACGCCTTTTTGGTCAAACAATTTGCGAACACAAATTGATGATTTGAATGATTATGATTTGACTCGTTTGCATCCCACGGTTAGACCAACGACCCTGTACTGTGCTGTAGACGGCACTAGATGGACCACGTGAGGCACATGCCCAACCCTCCCCACGGTGTGGCATCTCTTGTTGAGAGCACGGTAGCACATAACGCCATCGCGAGAGAGCAGCGAATACGTAATTCGGTTGAACCCTCTGGTTGAAACAGCTCGTTCGCCCACCGCTCAAAAATTTTCATGGGCGCGGCCATTTGTTAGATGAGCACGACCAGCGGACATGGTTTTATAGGCGGGATTCCAGGAACAAGGACTGCTGTGCACGCACGTACCGTATACACCCAAAGGATATATGTACGAGAGAGGTGACGGGAGTTGACTGGAATGTGGAACGAAAGTTGAGCCTGAAGACGACAAGAGATTTCCAAATTTCCTTCATATTTCCATGACGACAGAGAGAGTCACCCATTCGTTCTGAAAGACGAACTATTTGGACTCACTAGGCAGGTTGTAGAGGAGAGCCGGTATGCCCTTGCTCTCCATATCTCTCTATCGTATGCTAAAGGTTGAGAGGGTATGGGCTGGAACGGTCAACCACGGCGGAGAAATGAGGGACGGGGAAGCACCCGCCGTGGGTTTAATGCCGATCGTCGTTCTGCAACCCACACACCGCCGTTCCTACCGACGCCCTTTGTCAGCAGCAACGTGGTCTTTTGGACCCTGAATGTGCACACCATCAAGGGGGCTTGAGCGAATCTGCTACGAGTTATTCTCCTCACATGTATACACGAGGTGTCGTACTGCGGGAGGGGCTTAGTCTTTGCGGTAGCTTATTCTGGCGTGTGGAAATGTTACCTTGAGTATTTCCGGTGTATGGTAATGTATATCCGGCTGGGTTTATTACAGATAGATGCAAGATTGTGAGCTGTTCGTGCAGTATTTCCTTCTCTTCTTCATCTAGCGCATGTCGTCACGGGAAAAAATCATTTATGTTCCCTGAGAGGAGAGTGAGAGTGAGTCGTTCACCGGGAAGACGCCAAATGTTAATGTTCATGTTTAAACCCGTTTGTGGTTGCCCTCATCACATCATGAAGTATGTCACAAACCGTTCCGATGTCCCTCAGAACCTTTGAATATCCGAACTGGTCCGACTGAGGCCGTTGCCTCCACAAAGAAACACCAAAAACAATTATTATACCAGCATTTTGTGAGCAATGAAAGGGAAATACACGACACAGGATATATCCCCTTGTTGTTGTTGAATACAAAACGGTCGCTACGGTGACCGGCGGGTTTTAGTCAAGAGCACTCGAGCGTGTAATAACGCCTCTCTCTGCGGTTAGTCTGAGAGAGTACCCCATCCAGTATTGTTTTACTTGAGTATTTGTTAACAATTCGTTCGTGCTTCATGTGCGGGAACATTGCGGGCGCTCGCTGGTGGTGCCCCCAAAGAATATTTCCGGCTGTTCGGGGAGCGTACGTCGACCGCCGCGCGGCTGTCGTCCACGGCGCGAGGGAGCACGCGGCGGCCGGTTGATTGTGGCGCCAGCGCCGAAAGGCGCGCGCTGTCAGGGTAGCGGCCGGCTTTACCATGTTGGCGTTGGTTTTGCCAGTGTGTGATTGGTCGTGTTTTGCCCCCCTTGAATCTGGGCGTTGTGGTCACCGCCGTTGTCACAGCAGTGGTCAGGGGGTTTTCCTCGATTGTTGTTTTTGTGGCGGTCGATGGCCGCCTAGCGGTCATTGGCTTGGTGTTGGTGGCGATTGGGCTGACGGTGATGCTGCGATTGTTGCGGTCATTGTCTTGTGAGGGCGGCATGGTCTGGTTCTTTCGAAGCCCCCTAAAAGGCTGTATCTCAATGTACCTCTTAGAGGACGTATTTTCAGGGATCGGGATGCCAACTCTCATTGGTGCACCCGTAGCCAAAATGTTTTCCTTCGAAGAGAAGTAGTAGCTGATACGTTACAGGGCTAACTCAAGTTTGGCCGAGTCGATGGGTGGTATATGACAGAACCTGGCAGTTTTGCTCCCGCTCGGTGGACACGTAGCCGATGCTTACGCGCATACTTTCCACGTCGACGACGTGACAAACATGCTGCTTGTTGACAACAACGACTACGTTGGGTAGGTGGCCTGCGGCCACGGAAACCGTCCGAGTCAATTAGGCCGCGGTAGTAGGCGTTAGAAGGTACTGAACAGAGACCGAAACGGTTTCTATTGTGAAGACGATGACAACGACGACGACAGCAACAAAGCAACCTTCCACTATTGCTAGCATACGGCTGGCTCTTTGTCCGCTCTTTGCCCGCTATACGTGTCAATGGTGACTTCATTGTTGTGTCGACTGCCTTATTCAGTACCCGCCCATTTGCTGTCTGTTGTATTGTGCGTCCCTCGCGATTGCCTTGGTGCTCATTCATCCAGGAGGTGGCCAACCGCATGCGGAGGGAGCTCGAGATTGTAGATCGCAAGTACCGTCTGCGGGTGAGTGGTTCAATGGCCCGACGGTAGTGACTGCATGCCTGACGTGTTGCAAGCCACTCACGTGGCGGAGCAAATCAAGTTCGACGTCTGTCTCCCGCTTTCACGACTTGCAAAATCGAACGAGAGCTTTTCTCAATGCCTTCCAGATAAATCACGACTACTGGTAGTAAAGGAGTCACAGCGGGGCGAACCCGGTAACCCAGAAGGCGCCCCCACTGGTATCATGGCGATGACCAATCCTTCTTGCGAAGGAGATTTTCTGCGGGATACGGCGTGTCTGCAGCAATCGACCCGGTTGTGGCCCCTCGCTCACGAGACGTGTTGGACTTTGTTGCTCTCTCGACAGAAGTACCCGTCGTGCTTCGTCGGCAGCGACGCGGTGCAGTGGATGATAAAGTCGGGGCTGGCGTCGGACGTGGCGGGCGCAGAGGCTCTCGGCGACCTGCTCATTGACCACGGAGTGTTCTTCCACGTAACACGGCGACACATGTTCGAGAACCGCCGGCTGTTCTATCGGTTCATGCATGACCGACTCGAGGATTAAGAGAGGAGAGGACGATCGGCCGTTTGTCCCGACCGGCTGTTTTAACGATTCATGCATGATCGACTCGAAGATTGAGAGAGGAGACGACGGTCGGCCGTTGGTCCCGACCGGCTGGTTGACCAAAGCCTGGAATCGGCAGGAACCCCACGCCCCCGCGCCCCACTAGACTTTGTTGGTCAACAAGCGAATACCTGGTATTCCGCTTTGTATATAGTGCGCGAGGATGGAGGTATTCTTCGCCATCCTTGGTCGCAACAAGTGGAGAAGAATAAGGAAGTACGTATGCAGATATTGAACGTGGAGTACGCACGCCTCTGGACGGGTGTAGTGTATAGAGGTAAGGTAGCGTACCCCTTGAGAACGC